CCGCCCTAACCCTATCTCTGACCCGTACAGCTAACGCCCAACGTCTATTGTTATCGTGTCTGGGTGTCAGATTCGACACCGTGAAAGCTTCTGCAAACCCTGGATGAGAGACACTGTCGACGATGCCTGTGTGTACTACTATCAAACAACATACCCAACTACACACTGCATACAGTCTAGAAAACACTCGCTGCACTACATGAGATTGAATGAGATTTTACACAACGTATATAACATTTACACCATGTGCACACGCAAGCACGCACGTACACACAAGAGATATGGGGAGATACACCATGGCTAAATGTTGTCACCGTTTCCTTAATCTGGATAATCTTAACCGTTCGATTCCTGATACAACGGAACTCAAAACAATCCACGTCCCTAACACCTAAAGAATTTTCCTTCACAAACCTTTACTTCTCCAAGTTCAAAGTACGCCTTCCCATAACCCTACACACATATCATTATTGACGGGCACATGGTGTGCAGCACACACTTAATCAGACATACCTTAATACCGATACCAGACATCACTCAGCTAAAACGTGTAGCACGATTCGAAACGTAGACTTGCATAAGTCTCTAAAGTAAAAAATAATAGTTTAAATGATAATTTCTAAAAAATAATAAACAGACTGGGGTCCTTACTGTCTGCTATTTTAGACTTGTCTCTTCGAGGGATAGAATCTTTACTACACATCCATGGGCCCAGCATTCAGTACAACCTTGGAGCAAGCCTAATCGAAACGTTACAGAGTACCTTAGTATACCTCATACAACATATAAGCAGTTTTAAAGTGTTTGGAACATTCGTGGATGTCTACTAATGTCATGGAAACCCGACCCCTGACAGATAACGAGACTGTTCCCATGTACCCAAGTTCCCGCTGTATCAGGTAAATTGACCTCTGGTCACCGAGTCCGGCGAGATGAAACACCGCTGATGTTTGTCTCAACAAGCCAAACCAGCCTGACAGGTTGATATCACAAAGCGGTAAGCAGACATAAATTAGAAAAGTGTGGGATTTGCTTGAACCTTTACCTCCCAAGATAACAGCAGCATCTGTCAAAGAACCAGTGGTGATGAAACTAGGTTTCTATATTGACCATCTGACCGTTAAATTACGAGGGTGACTCCGGTGGTAAGCATGTCAACATTAACACAGGTGCTTGGGTTAATTGTTCACGTCAATGCAGGTTAATACTTATACACTCACTCTGTCTTTTGTAAACGCGAATGTCCACAGACTTCCAACAGGTGTTACTTGTGCTTCAAAGCTTTGTACTTACATTTATGATAATCTTTGTATTAGAAGAAACAGAAACCTGGACATCAATGAGAATAAACTAAGTTATTGTAGTGTTATACTGGAATCAAATGTCAGTTCTCATAAAGAAGAGTTCGTCAGTAAGTGTGCGAGATGTCAATATCAGCAATATCCCAGCATCCTCAACACAGGGACACCAAGACCCGGCGTTACATAGTATATCAACTGGGGAATCGAACCCGGTCTTAGGCGTATGCGCCAACGTTTAAATGAACAACCAAACTACTTGCCCATATTGACATATTCAAGGAGGTCGCTACGATATAGGTACACAACCAAACTACTTGTTCATAATGAAGGAGGTCGCTCCAAGAAATGACTGAATCAGGTTAACACAGCTTTGAAGAATTATCACGGTTCTATCACGGCGTGTCAGCTTCTGTATATAAAGACCAATATGATGTTGGTCCCAGACGATTATATGGGTTAGCCTACATACACAGGAATGGTCCCTACAATCCCAGACATAATGAGGGCGGATGTAGGATTCGAACCCACGATCACAGCGAAATGATTTGGCACGGACGACTGGGCCACCCCGCTTCCCCTCACTCATACCATAGCCATTGAGTAAATAAACTGAACATTAAATATACGTTTTACTGAATAGATGGACTGAATTGATCTTATTTGAGAACTATCGCTTTGCAGTTTCATCGATGGCTATCACTTGCCGCCGTGTTGAAATATTCATAAAGTCCCAAAACAAGGTACAGGTACATCCATTGTCTGGGGTGGGTGTGTAAGGTGAACATACGTAGCTCATAGCCTTTGCTGCCAATGGATATAGGCATATGTATACTATGCGTTTAACCAATGCATTGAAATGGAAAGTGCAACTTTCATAGACAGACAGAGAGAGTTTGTATTCATTCAAACATTGAAAAGAAGTTGTTTACAAGTTTTCAAATTAAACCCTCAACCGCACGTATTTCAACCAGTGCATCCCGTACAAACACAATGTGATCCCTATTGCGAACTCGTCACCTGATGAAGTCGTGCGAAACTACCCTAAAATAACATTCTTCAGCCATGTAAGTGCTGTTGTTTCGCTGATCCTCTACAACAACAGTGAACATGAACAATTACCCATTGTTACACACAGTGTAGTGGCAGGTTGACATTTCCGTTCAACAAACATTTTTCAAATGTTGTGTTCTATGTATATGTAAATATTAGTCATGTCAAGCACAGCGGGCTGTGCCATGTACCACTGTAGCTATAATCAAGGTAGACGCCGTCACGGCAAGTGAGGTGGCAGTCTAATGTTCCAAATTCGGTCAAGACTGCAAGGCTACCTTGACTCTTCTGAAGTAACACCTCCATACATAGTCCTGCAGGTGCCCGTAAACAGGCTAATGTGACAGTCTAATGTTCAGAATGTTCCAAATTCGGTCAAGACTACAAGGCTACCTTGACTCTTCTGAAGTAACACCTCCATACATAGTCCTGCAGGTGCCCGTAAACAGGCTAATGTGACAGTCTAATGTTCAGAATGTTCCAAATTCGGTCAAGACTGCAAGGCTACCATGACTCTTCTGAAGTAACACCTCCATACATATTCCTGCAGCTGCCCGTTAAAGAACCACTAAACTTTGTTTTTTGTTACTCTTTTAACCATTACATATGAAAGATTTGTGGTTAGTCTTATGCGGAACACCAAATTTATTCTTTAAAAACTTGTGGTTAATTAATACCGAGCGATTAAAAGTGGCCAAAAAGTCGCCTGCTTCCCTCTCGCCCGCCAACGAAACCACAGACAGGTTACGTAACTGTGTCGCCAGAGCACTGCAGTGACGTCATATGAGGAACGATTTTCAGTTAGTTGTATAGAAAATGTGTAGCACGTTCATCATTTTGATGATTTCTCGACATCAACGACGACATGCCGAATCGTTGCTTTGTCGTCAATTGCTCCTAGGGGTCGGGCGATGGTGTCCCCATGCACAGATTTCCACAGGACCCCGCAGTTCGTGCTAAATGGGTTATGTTTGTGAGTGCGAAGCGAGCGTTGTGGAAGCCTGAAACGATATCTTACTTGTGTTCAGATCGCTTCACGGAAGTTAAAGAATCAAAACTACTTACTAGTTGTAGTAAAATATGCATATGATTGATGACCATAAAGATTTTCTATGACACAACTTGTAACATAACGATTTCTTCCTCGGAAGTGAGGTTGTGGTCGAAGTAACAATAATATTGTAAGTAGTATTATATTGACCCACCTCGCTGCCAGGAGAGAAATTGTTATGATATACGCTATGTCATGCAAAAATCCTATTGGCCATCAATAAAATACATATATTACTACCAGTAGAAAGTAGTAGTTTGATTTTAACTCGGTGAAAACAAACCTAAATACCATTTATCCTCAGACTGGCGGATGTTCCCGACAGGTGCGCCGCCATTTTAAAAATAAAAAAATCTGTTAGAATTAATGAGATTATAGTTTGTTTTCATCAAGTTAGAAAATCAAGACTACTTTCTACTCGTTGTTAAATATGTATTGGAATCATAACCAAACGGATTTTGCATGACACAACTTATAACATAACGATTTCTTCCACGGAAGCGAGGTGGGGGTCGAAGTCACAATACTGCGCGATAAATTTCTTGCTCCATTCCCATGGTTAATGTCCACTCACCAGTATGTAGATACAGTACTAGTCAATGTGCGTCTTTATATTCGGTCTTATAATCCTAATTAGTTTATTATCACACTTGTATGCATTTTGAAACTAAATAAAAAGCAGACGATCTGCTGATACTTATAGTGAATTTATAACAGAACTGTAATATCTAGACATTTTATAGTTTGCCAATGTGAATCATAATTCGCACACACACCCTAGTGCATGTTGTCTGTCTCATTACACTTCACGGCGAAAACAATGATTCTGTTGAATGCTACGACAAATGAATAAAAACAAAATGCAAATATTAAAATTAAAACAGATCAAAGTTATAGGAACAATATCAGGCCATTACCTTGTTCGAGGAATGTATCCATCAATATCCACAAAACTGTTCCAAATGATGTGTCTTTTAACAGTTTAATATACGAAAAAGTGATAAATCTTTTCAGGTATTGGTGTATAGTCTCATTGGTCACCCAAGATAGCACACATGGCACCTAATTGCATAATGTCCGCCTTTCTTTAAAAACAGTAATTTAGTTACCCAATAATGGGCAATCAATCAATGTATTGCCGGTTAATCCTTTGAAAGAAGGACGTTGTTTTTACGCAGACACCGACACGACAGAGTGTATTCAGTATAGATTAGTAAATCTACATACATAAACACTACCTTTTGACAATTCCGCTGTGTAAGATAAAAGTAATTAATCAATCAGCGTGTTATCGGTTAATCCTTTGATCGATGTTTATAATGTTGAATATTTACTCCAGACACAAGAAATGCCAAATGGGAACCTTTGTCGGGTAATCTAAGTGTGTTACCACTAATTATACCTGTTATAAATTCATTAACTGACCATCAAGTGAATGATGACAAATAACATGTGTAGGTTTATACCACCTAACACGGGTTACAACGAGGGAGTATTAATTGCTGTATTGCATGTGAAAACTTATGGGCCGACACTGTTTTGAGAATACAAACCGATTTTTACATGACATGATTAAATATCGAGGTAAAACAACACAGAAATGGGATCAATTTGGATCAGTCATTATACAAATAGGGCCTAACGACACCAATCGATTTTGACAGAATCGTCTATGAAAACAAGTTGTAACTCGGAAACTAGGCAAAGCAGGAGAGAAAATTAAATGACAGTAGATTGTGAGAACATATAGCTTTCATTTTCCACAACAATTGTCACGATTTCAGGTTTATACAAGCCTGTAAACAAGATAATTTAACCCCCTAAAATGTAGATGAATTCTGCATCGGCTCTCAAAGCTATTCCTCATATGACGTCACAGAGGCGCCCCGCTCTGATTGGTTGAAATTTCGTTCGCTGGTGAGAATTGTGCACTGTTGTCAAAAAGGTCGATTTAAGTTAATTAAAGGTCGAAATGAGTAGTTTTAATGACGGGGTTTCATTTATAACGATTCCAGTTAGTGATTTATGTATTTGTACCCCCCTAGGGTTTATGTGACCTTTAACAGGCTATAGAAACCGCGGCACATATTGGTTCATGGAACAAGCATTTCTCCGGGGTGTGATACAATCAATCAGACCGTTCGTTTCACTGACTTTGATGTAAACATATTTTATTCACCATTTTTTAACAAATGGATAGAAATTCACGTAGGAAAATACCGTTTCGCGGCTGCTCGACTAGGGTACATACTGTTCATGATGTATGGATATATTTGTCAGAATCGTATATATTTCAATTATGACAGGACAATCGCGACATAATATATCACTAGCTTGCTCTTTGTGTCACCCCAAGTTCCGGTTTGACGTCACGTGATGATATGCTATATATGCATATGATGGCGTGTGGAAGTGAACGTCCTTGACCTCTGACCAGTAGGGGATGTAATGTTGTTGGAGTAAGATGAGTAGCAAGCAAGTGTACAGAGTCGTGATAACATACATTCTGTCTTCCGCGTTCCAAGTAAACAAACCCATGCATTATGTCAAGATAAACATGTATACATGCTCAAGGGGCGTGGAGGAAGTCTAAAGATATTAAATATGACATATGAGACTTCATATACACCAAGCAAGCTTCATATTTCACTAAGTATTGATGAACATGTTTGTTTCTAGGACAGCAAGTCATAATAGAGATAACGCTTAGTCTCTGAATATATATAATTGTGATAGAAACAAATAATTCATTTTAAAATGCAAAGGAGCCCCGGTGAAATGGGAGATTTAGAACCTGAGGAAATCTGGACTTGCTTCGTTTTGGGATATAGCATTGCAGAAAGGGTGTGCAGGAGGGGAAATAATTCAGGCGGTTCAGGGACTGTGAGACAGACTAGTCACGATAGCACTGTCCAGTCAAGTCTTATTGTCCCAAGGTCACTGTAGTGAACCTGTCGTCACCTGTACATCAAACACACTCGTGTTAAATAAGAGCAAGTTCAGATAAAAATCAAATCCATTATCAGTTTTTTTAAGAAAAATGTCGATTTGTTTTGAGACCATGGTTATACCAAGCGTATGAATTGTTTTATTTGCAAGGATACCACGACGTAAGTATCAGGAGCTTAAGCTGTTGTGTACACTTGCAGGAGTGAGTGAATGAGTGAATTTTACGCCGCTTTTAGCAATATTCCAGCAATATCACGGCGGGGAACACCAGAAATGGGCTTCACACATTGTACCCATGTAGGGAATCGAACCCGGGCCAAGCGAACACTTTAACTACTGGGCTACCCCACAGACCCCGTGTACAGGTACACGTAATACACACGACTACTATGCAAATGAAAATGCAGACGTGCTGTTTGATACAAAAGTGATCAGTATAAGCACATAAATTGGTATAGCCAATCTTAAATGAACTACATGTATATCACAATTATTGTTTGACACCGGTTGTATTTGGGTTGTTATACTATAGTATTTCAGTAGTGATCGGACTGGTAATGACATGTGATATACACCTGTCTCCACTTGAAATACGGTCGAAGGTGTAGTGATAAGAAAGGCGAAACCTAAAGGTTATCAAAGGAAAGTTCAGTGCGATCTCCTACATGCGTGCTACATACATAATCTGCTGCAAAAACTCTAAGTGATAAACTCTCTTATCTGGAATCAGCACTGCAAGCTCTGTGGCGGACTCAGACACCCTCACACGTCTGTACAGTTGTTGGGCAGTGGGGTAGCCTAGTGGTTAAAGCGTTCGCTCGTCACGCCGAAGACCCGGGTTCGATTCCCCACATGGATACTATGTGTGGAGCTCATTTCTGGTGTCCCCCGCCGTGATATTGCTGGAATATTGCTAAAAGCGGCATAAAGCCATACTCACTCACTGTACATAACATAACTCCATGGACTGCAGATTATCATTGACTATTGTATATAGGTTTGATATTTACGCTGCAATCACCAACATTCAAGAGTGATGAAGATGACCAGCAAGCAATGCAGTCCGGACGAGACTATCCAGTGATTGATATTGTAAACAACGATTCACGCCGTGTGGGGTACGATGACCTCTATCAACAGTCATATGATCCACTGGGCCGTCTCTTACGGCGAGCATAGGGTGTTGGGGGGCCTATTCTATCCCGGATTCCCCTAGGTTAGGAGAGGGGTGGAGGGTTGACGATTCTGACAAGTCAATATCATACAATGTGAGATGGAAAACGTCTCACAGTGTTCATGCAGAAGAGATGCCACTGCACCTAGAAAAAACATAACTTTGACATTGTCGCGAGTTTCAAAGGAATAGAAATCACTTCAAGCAACTTCTCCAGTATCTAAGATTTGTCTGTGATGTCATTTCTGATGTAACGGTAGTAGGTTGGGTTCTTCAAACGTAAAATATTTAAATGACAAAATATGTTACTCATGAAATAAAGCAAATGTATCTGGGCCAACGTTGTTGCATGATCAATACGACAGGTATCGAGCGCGTTAATAAGGTCTGCGTGCCAACACAGACTTGGTTCAATATTGTGTCTGTAGAGTTTAAACACGTTTGTAGACCTTTTAAGCAAGTATCTGTTTCGAAAGATACCAGTTGCGGAATTGTCAGAGTGAGTGAGTTGGATTTAAGGTGCTTTGAACAGTAATTTAGTTACAACACGGGGTCTGTATCTTAGATGAAGGCCAGAAGTAACGTCGGCCTTAGACTTCTACCACTTCGGATAACCACACGAGGACAGGTGTAGTACTGCCCAAACCGGAACTGTAGCCATGACGAATTTGTGATCCGAACCAACGATCATAATATCCGGACAGGCAACAGACGTAATAGACTAACATTAACAGCTGGTCTCTGAAATGAACATATTTTCCAGAAAAAAAAATACAAGACATGCATGGGCTACTTTGGGTATATTTGTTTCGAGGTCTGAATGCCTGGCTGGGGGCGTAATAGACCAGTCCGAATCGAAGAGCTGCTTCCTCTAGTATGCCCCGATATCGAGGACAGCTGTCAGGATGTGTGATAACAATTATCTGCTACGTGGAGCTACTGACACATAGTAGTACTGTGTTCACGTTGTTGCGGCATTGTGCTGTTTATGTGGAGCTTCTATCCATGTTAGCCAAACTTCCTGAAGGTTAATTTGAAATCATTCGTAGATGTCCATTATCAACGTGTCCTACGAAACGCCTAATAAATTACCGAGGTTCGGGTGATCAGACTCTCCCGTGTGTCTCAAGCTGTTCTCCCGTGTGTCTCAAGCTGTAGATCGGTGCCCATGCACTTTGTTACTTGACTTGCCTGGATAAGACTCTTGCAGAGACCGATACCTAGGATATTGTTGACAGGGGTGGCAAAAGGTGCAGGACTCGCTCATAGTTTGAACTTGATATTCATCCATACCTTGAGTGAGACTAGCACTCATAACACTATGCACGAACTGTTTGCGGAGTCACGAACGCTTCCTCAACGTGTTGGAATGTTGAACTAAACTGTCTATTGTGTCTCTGGGAGAGATCTGCATAATGTACTGTACGTCTGACAACCAATATCAAGTGTTTGGTTCGAATACTGTTTGCCCCGTTCAAAACACCCCACTAAGGAAGTTTAGTAAGAGACCAAAGATTCAATCTTGGGAAATACCATTAGCAGCTATTTTTATAACAGACATATTAACACGAAATCAAAAACACAATGTAAATCAATAATTATCACTTTGTTAATATCGATGACCTAAACTGTTTAAAGTGTCAGCCACGACTGCATGTCAAATACAATCTCGCTCTGTCAAAAGATTAATAACCAATCAATATTCACCCTGCATGGGTTAATGCAAAGACAGCGCTATGGCAATGTTTTGACAATTACGAGGTAGTGGAAAGTAATTACATTATGGCTAAGCAAGCGTGATATTGTTGCATTCATCTTTTCCATACAGCTATTAGACGTCGAGCACGACACCTGTAATATGACCGTACATGTGTGGTTGAGTCCATTAAAGAAAAAGGGGTGCAAAGTGAGAAACTGAAAAGGATCCTACACTAAGAATACCTTCCCTCCCTCCAGCCCCCAAGGCAAACTCTCCAGAACATAAGCTATTAAAATATCCCCAAGTATTTTGGGGTAAAAGTTAAGGAATCAGTTGTATTGTATAGTAACAAGAACAGTACATGAGCAAACAACATTAATTTTCTTTTGGACATATATGTCTCACATGATTATTGGGTATACACTCCAAATAGGATTATTGGTGAAATTGGCTATATTGGGGGGTGGGTTTGATAAAGCTATCGAACCATGTTAATATCATGTAAAATTGAACATGAGTTCCAAAACTGCTAAATGTCAATAGTGTCAGCATTTAAGACCGGTCGACAACATTAAAATATATGCTGAAAGTTGAAGTCCTGGAAAAGATACCAAGCACAAAAAACACAAGCACCCCTAATAGACTCCCACTGAACCTTTACATGGCATGGCTAGAACCACGATATTGGCATTCCTTTGTCCAATCAATACTTTGTTCTTGTGTCACCTCACAATACGCTTGTTAACCCTATGTGATGGTTTAACGGTATATGCCTATTTGTCACGGGG